CCTTGATTTTAAAGGTGAACATAAAGGTATTACCTTGTCTGTAGTCATTCTAAACCTAGAATTAGCTGCTTGAATCCACATACTATAAACTAAATACAGATGTAGCCTTAAAACAATGAAATTAACCTTTTCTGTTAAATGCCATAACTTTTATGCTATAGCTACTTATATTTTTTAAAAATATTTTTATTATTTCTTTGATAATTTCATACAATATATTTTGATTATATTCACTCTCCCTGAACTCTTTTAAGATCCACCCATCATCCCTTCACACCCAGTTTTGCGTCCTGCCCTCCCTACCCCTTCATCAAGGCCAGTTTGTACTACTTGGATCTGTGACTTGGATTGTGGTTGACTTATCAGTGGCTACACTTAGAGAAATTCTTCCTCCCCCAGCAGCTAACAGTGGCTAATGGCTTCTCAGGTAGGGATGGAACATTGTATCCAGTTCCGCTCTCTATGCTAGGACTTGATTTTGCTGGGGCTTGCCAGGTCTTCTGTGTGCTGCCACACTGATTCAAATGTGCAGCTTCCCTGCTATGTCCAAAAGACAACTGTTTCTTCTTGTCATCCACCACCTGGCTCTTACATTCTTTCTGCCTCCTCTTCCTCGGTGGTCCCTGGAGTCTTTGGAGAAGGGGGTTTGGTATATGTGTTCCATTTAGAACTGAACATTCTACAGTGTCTAATTCTCTGCACCATGGCCAATTGTGGGTCTATGTGTTATCTGCTGCTATGTGTTATCTGCTGCAGCAGGAAGCTTCTCTGATGAGGGTTGAGAGATGCCTTCATCTAAAAGGGAGGTCTGGAAGAGGTCCTAACCCTTACCCTTTAGAGAAATATCTCTACTGTGGGGCCTTTTTTTTTTTTTCTTTTTTAAAACAAAAGTCACATGTCTTTGATTTTTTTTTTTAATCTGTGGATGGATTATGAAGATATGTGTAATATGAAGATAATGTGTAAAAATGCTATTTGAGAAACTAGACAAAAATATTAACTGCTAGGTTTTATATTTATTCACTTACTATTGAGCATTTGCTGTGTGCCAACTCCTCAGCTGGTGGTAGAGATACATAGTTTCTGATCTCAAGTTACTAATATTGTAGAGAAAGCTGAACCTAAGCTAAAGTGAGTTGTCCAGGAAGATTAGGGAAATTTTGGAGGGGTGGCACAGAGAATGGTGTGTATAAGATCATGGGCAAGGAATTAAAGGTTGTGTATATCCTAACCTTATGTTGGGGGAACTAAGGTAATAATATTGCATAAGTGTGTAGAACCGTTTGGTGGTAGGGAATGATAGAGGCTCAGAAGTTTCTAGATTTCTTCAGATGAGTCTTATAGTTTGTCTTGAGAATTTTCCACAGAAATGCTTATAAGGCATGGTTTATAGGAAGGTAAGACTGGAACTAGCATGATCAGCCTGTCTTGATATATGAAGAAACTTAGGAACAGACAGGTAAGGAATTGTCTAACTTGGAGTTAGCAGATGCATACATCTGAATTCACTCATATACTGAAGTTTCAGCTGTTTTTACTCAGTGGGAAAAGTCCGAGGGTCATGCGAGTTGGAGTGCTTGGGTGCTTGCAGGAGCTCAGTTGTGCCAACTGGAAGGTGCTATCTCCCCAGCTGGCTTTTGTATCCTACATCTACGTTGTGTTTGTTTTTTGAATAGTTGAGGTGTGTCTCATTTTAGCTGCCATTATTATTAATTTACAGAAAAAGTCCAGAATATTGAACTAATTTTACAAACAAGTTGCATTACCAGCTGATGAATACATGAGAAATTGTCAAGGCTTTCACAGTGGTTTTAAGGTAAGTTCAGTTTTGTTTTTTTTTTAAAGGCAATACTCTTTATTGTTCCAGTAATAACATATTAAAGTTTGTTTTTAATAAGCCGTTGAACTTAACCTTAAAAACACTGTGAGAAATCCTAGCCTTTTGACCAAGATCATACTTGAAAAGACTGAGAATCTTTTTTTTTTATTTAATTTTATATAACAAAGTCCAATTAAATGAAAACAAACATTTATACACAATATTTGGGAATTTGGGCGTCGTTCTTTCCAAACTACTTCCTGCTGGTAAGGGGCGCTGTCTTGGGGGGATTCGAAGAAGATTCAGATATCCTGGCTGTAGTCTGTAGGGCTGTTTTGTCCAACTGTTTTGAATGTAGGATTAGCTTGTACTCTGTTTCAGGCGGTCTGGCGTGATCAAACCACATTAAGACTGAGAATCTTAAACAATTTCTCACTAGCTGGTTTTATCCCAAGCTTAGGTTGAGTCTGCTGTCTTAGATACCTTTGCTAGGTGGTCATCACTAAAGCTTCCTAAGAGTGTACTGTAAGATATTCCATTTTGAAGATGAAAAACTGGGCTTAAGATAGACTGAATCATTCTTGTCCTAGGTTATACAAAGCTTTGGTCCCAGAGTCCAGGTTCTTTTCAGTACTTCACAAGGAAAGGGAGCAGTAAGGTGGTGCTTGTCCCTAAGGAAGAGTGAACTCCTGAGCCAATGGAGTTGCTGTTGATGCTGTGTAAAGTATATAAGTGAGCTGGGTCAGACCCACAGGGATGGCATGTGCCTAATGATCTTATTAATAATGTGCAAACAATGATTGTTTGGACAGCACTTTAAAATGTCTAGTGCTGCAATTGTGTTGTGTATATATTCACTACATATGTAAGGAAGCCAGGGCAGTGGAAAGTTGAGCAGAAACTAAAGTACTGTCTTCATCGTTGGTAATAGAGTATTACAGTGTGAACCCTAGTTTATTCTGGTCACTGTGTGATTGATATTCACTATGTGGGAGAATATTTTAAGATAGATATATAGTGGCTCTAAAATATTTTTTAAGATTTATTTTTATTTTATGTATATGTGTGTGCCTCTGAGCACATGTCACACATGTGTGGATATACAAGTCAGAAGAGGACAGTGGATCCTCTGAAACTATAGTTACTGAAAGTAATGTAGATGATGGGAATTAAACTTAGGTCCTTTGGAAGAGCAGTATGTGCTCTTAACCAATGAGCCATCTCTCTAGCTTTAATTTTTTTTGTTTTGATTTGAGGTTGTTTGTGTACTTGAAAAAGGGTTTCACATAGCTGAGGATCACCCTCTGATCACAATCCTCCTTCCTAAGTGCTAGGATTGTAAGTGTGTATTTACAATTTATAATTTATACCTAGCCACATTTTTATTTACTTACTGCTTTGTAGCTATTGGTAACCTTTATGAATGGGAACCATTGAAGTCACAAAATACAGGACATTGGGTTTATTAGAATCAGTTTCATTACGTACGGAAGGAGTATTTTCAAAAGCCAGAAGAGGGTGTCATATCCAAGGAGTTGGAGTTACAGGCTGTTGTGTGCTATCAGATGTGTTTTGGGAACCAAACTACAGTCCTTAGCAAAAGCAGTGTATGCATTTGAACCATCTCTTCAGCCTCCTTGTGGACCGATCTTAAATGACCATTGAAATAAAAATTACAATTTTATTAAAGTAAAACGTTTAAAAAAACTATTGAAGAAAATGATTAAATCATTTCTTGATTAGTGTTAAAAGTAAGTAGTAGACAATTGTTCATGTAATTTTTTTTGAAACAGAATTTCTCTGTGAAGCCCTGGCTGTCCTGGCACTAGCTCTGTAGACCAGCTGGCCTCAAAATCACAGAGGTCCATCTGCCTCTGCCTCCGAGTGCCATGCTTAAAGGCATATACTACCACTGTCCAGCATGTAGTAAATTTTAATATTATGAATAATTATAACATTTTTTAATTCCTTTATTTTGTAGAATGATCATATATTTAGCCTTTCTAAATAACTTTATATTTAAATACTTACATAACGGTAATTTGATATTACATTAATTTATCTTTATTTTGCAGTTCTGGGACTTGAACCCAGGCCTCTGTGTATGTGAGTCCATTATGACTATGTGTTCAACCTCCATATATGTACACATATGGTTGCCACAGGTCATTGTCAGTATCTTCTTCTGTTGCTCTCTAGCTTTTTCTCTCTCTGTACCTGGTGCTCACTGATTTGCTAGACTAGCTGCCGGAAGGATTCCTTTGTCTCTCATTCTAGAACTAGGATCGCAGGCAGGTGCTATCACACCTGTTTTTTTTTTTTTTTTTTTTTTTTTGTTTTTTGTTTTTGTTTTTTGGTATTTTCAAGATAGGGCTTTTCTGTGAAACAGTCCTGGCTGTCCTGGAGCTCTCTGTAGACAGGCTGGCCTCAAACTCATAGAGGTCCTCCTGCTTCTGCCTCTGCCTCCAGAGTGCTGGGATAAAGGCATGCCACCTCTGCCTGGCACACCTGGCTTTTTATGGGGGTGCTGGAGATCATGGTTATACACTTTACCCATTTAATTCACATCCACAGACTCTTGAACACATACTGTACAACCTACTTATCTCTAACTCTATGGTAACAATTGTCAATTAACAGCCTCTTACTGTTAACTAGAGAAAGAGTTTGAAATTTTAAAGTAAGGCAAGAAGTCTGAAGATTAATTTTAAAGTTCTAAGAAGTGCCTCTGTGGGGAATGCATATAGATTTTACATCTAATGTTAGTAAAATATCACAAAATTTGAAGCCATAGCTTTGGTCATATCTGATGAGTCTTATATGCTCCTTAGAAGGAGGGAGGCATTGCCCCAGCCATCATAGCTAGAAGGGATGTAAGATGTAGCTTTCTTTGGAAGGTACTTGTTAGTGCTTGCAGCCCATCTGGAGTCTAGGTGGCTTTTGCTCCACTGACTTACTATAGACTCTGGCTGTTGTGGGAAGAAGCACCCTGGGGCTTCCCTCCTGAGAATGTCTTACCTGATTTGACAGTGAAGAGGCTTCAAGCCATTTTGCAGCCTTGCTATAATCTAAAGGCAGATGAGACTGAGGATAGGAATGCTGTTGGAAAAGCTGTATCATGTCTTTATACTGAGTTGCCAGGGTATTTGCACTATTTTCTCAAACTGTAGTCTATTTTTAGGTATGGGTGAGAGCAACTGTTCTTGGAACAGAAAACTTCTGCTGCACCGAGACACGATGCTGGCAGCTGCAGCGGTTTACAGAGGTGAGCAACCCACTCTTTTCTACCTGTACTCTCTGAGGGGTTTGTGCTCTGACTCCACAGTGTTCTTTCCTTCTTGTAAGGTATTGTCAGCCTTTGTCCTTTTTCCTCTCAACACACAGATCCTTTGTATCTTTGTATCTCTTCCCAACAGCTCTTGTTTCCATGTCAGCTTCTTTCTGACTTCTTGTGTGAGGCATTCATTCATTCTCAGTCCTGCAGCTATCCTAGTACCCATTTCTCTTTGAAGTAGGTGATTGCTATTGAGTGGATACTTTTTCTCATCTAATTGTTTCCAGAATTTGACTATGTGTGTCTTTTTAGAAATGTACAGAAATGAGGATGGTTCGATACCTGCCACATACCAGATCTATCACATGATAGGATGGAAATACCATGACTCTCAGGTAACACTATTAAGGCATCACTTTTCTTAGAGGGTTTGTGTTTCTGTTTGTTTTCCATTGTTGATTGACTTAGGGTATATTTTATTATGCATAACATGATTGAGGCTACTCTGGGCTGAGCTTATCTATAGCTAATATCTTTCATTTTTATTGTTTTCAGGCAAGGCCAGCTGAAAGAGGTTCTGCAACTGTGTCATTTGGAGACCTCGCAAAACTGAGTGATGTCATGCCACAGGGAAAGAAACAATAAATATTTTATTCAATTGTAATGAATTCAAGAATTTTCATCAGAAATGAATAACTTCCACATCTAAATTCTTACAATTTGAACAAGCAATATATTAAGCTATTTGCTAGCAACCTAGTATTATTCCATGAATAGTAACTATTGTAGGTTCTCATTGTTTCTGTTTATGTAAGGATGCTTTTATTTAGTGATTTGGGCAGTTTTACCGATTCAGCCTGAAAGCAAAGGCACTATTTTCTGGGGTTGGGGTTGGGGTTGGGGGGGTGGGGAGCAGACCTAGAAATTTGTGCACATGTGTAAATACATGATTTGATAGGAAAACATTGCCATTGCTCATACTAGCAATGGGAGGATCACCACTCTGAAAGTGGGAGGAGGGACAGATTGCTAGGTTCTGGAGAGTTCTTATACAGTACAATGAGAACACTTTTCATAGTGACCTGAGGGCCAAAATTATTTCTTACACTTTTCTTGTTTTTGGAGACAGGTCTCACTGTGTAGCCTTAGCTGGCCTAGGACTCAACAATGTAGACTAGTCTGGACTCACACTCAGAGTGCTGTCTGCCTTTAGTGTTCAGATTATAGGCATATGCTCTACCATGCCTAGGTATTTGTCATACTTTTGACTTGTCTAGATGACCAGAGGATTCTGTACATTCTCCAAAACTATGGTGTAGTTATGAATTTTAGAAGAGCATCTCTTTACCAGTTCTATCTATTTTCCCTGGGTGTGTTGTTTTCATTGTTAATTTTTATTTATTTATTTATTTATTTTTGTTTTGTTTTTGTTTTTGAAGACAGGGTTTCTCTGTATTGCCTTGGAGCCTATCTTGGAACTAGCTTTGTAGACCAGGCTGGCCCCGAGTGCTGGGACTAAAGGCGTGTGCCACCTGATTAATTTTGATTTTTTTAAATAGGTTTTTAAAGTTTTCTTTCATATGTGTGAGAATTTTGCCTGCATGTTTGCACCATGTGCATGCTTGGTACCTGCAGAGACCAGAAGAGGGCGTTGGATCCCCTGGAACGATGCTAAGGGTGATTGTAAGCCACCATGTGGGCGCTGGGAGTCACTGGATCCCCTGTAAGAGCAGCCAGTGCTGTAATCGGCGAGCCATCTCCCCTCTCCTCCTCCTTGTATTCTGCTTCTGTTTTTTGTTTGTTTGTTTGTTTGGTTTTTTTTTTTTTTTTTTTTTTTTTTTACTCCTAGACTCTAGGTAGGATCACTAGATTGCTACATTACTTTTACTTTATCTTAAGAGAAGAAACATTTTTAAAGAAAATTGCAAAGGCAAAATTTCATGTAAAAACCCTGGTATATTGATTAAACAAGCTGTTTACAGTCAGGTTTTCCTTGTTAATTTTAGACTAGTTACACTGTTACCTAATCCAAGTTCACTGTCTTGTCATCTCAGGGTCAGGAAATTTGGAAGCAGTGAAATGTGCCCACAGGGCTTATTGGAACATTTGGTCTGTAACTACTGTTCCTGTCTGGGGAGTTTGGAACTTCAGGAAACAGGGCCTGCCTAGAGGAAGTGGCCACTAGGGGGCGGGTGAAAGAATGAGTGAGCGTGTATGTGTGTGAGTACACATGCATGCACATTCGGAACTGGAGTTAACAATTGGTTGTGAGCAGCCACGTGCGTGCTGGGAACAAGTAGCGAGTACTCTTAACCACTGAGCCAGTTTTCCAGCCTGAAGTAAACACTTAAAATGTATTATTTGCACTTATTTGTTTGTTCTTTGGTGTTGGAGGGGGCCACACCTATTGTAGTCAGAAAACAACTTGCAGGAGTTCTCTCCTTCTAACATGGCTTCCTGGGATCAAACTGAGGTCGTCGGGTTGGTGGCAAGAACTTTTATCTACTGAGCCATTTCTCTAGCTTTGAAGTAAACATTTTTATTTTTCAATCCTCTTTCATAACATTTTCACCCACTAGGTGGAAGCAACAATAATAATAAAGACTATTTGTACACGTATGTGTGATACACACACACACACACACACACTGCAGACATCTTACAATTTTTATTCTGATTATGCAGTTCTTAGGTAGGGATAGAATACCTAACATTATTTTACTTTGGATTGGCCTCTTCTAGGAAAGAAAGAAATATGAATACACATCTGGGGGTGGAGTAGTTCTTGGTGTGGGAGAGCACAAAGAAAGGAGAAGAAAATAGTGCAGTAGGCCCTCGTGCATTATAACAAATGAAAGTGAATGCTCTTGCTAACTGGTGGTTTTAAATGTCTACACATGTTTTTTGATACATTTCTCTTGAAGACATGGAGCTTCAGTTACTTCCCCGAGTACCTGAAATCTGAGACATCAAATGAATAAAAATATGAGGGTGTATTAAAAGTCATTGTTCTTTCCTTCCCCTCTCCCCAATCACTCACTTTACGGCAAGCCACCTGTTGAATTTTGAGGTTACCCAGGCAGTTCCATGGAGAAGATTTAGAGGTCAGAAGCAGAAGGTACCTGCCAACTGATATGTTAGGGAACTGCCCTGGAAGCCGGTACTCCAGTACCAGGGACATCTCAAGTGTCAGCAACTTTTGCTGACACTGACTACAGCCTCATGAGATGCCGGGTTAAAACTACCCAGCAGCAATGCCACAGAAACAGATCATAAATGTTGTTTGTAATTTTTATAAAGCAGTAACTAATAAACTCTTTGGGAAAAGTTAGGTACCTAGGGTATGCTGGGTTGTGACTTTACATGAAAGCACCCTGTGTTTTAAAATTAGTTAAAGGTCATATGAAGTACCCAATTGTATTCTCAGAGACCACAAGGCCCGAGATAATTTTGCCTACATATTTGATTCCATAGTATCTCAAGAAAGAAGTAACCCTCCCAGGTACATTTACTGAGATTCAGATTTTGTTTCCTAGCAGTATTTGGGTCAGTTTCAGGAAGTGTGATTGGGGCTGTTTCCGAAGTGAAATAAGAGAATGTGTGAAAACTGACCTTGAAAATTCCATGAGCTACACATACATTCATGGATCCCTTAGTTGGTTCCCTTTTGATTATTGAGTTGCTGACTGCTTGTTGTCAAGATGACTAGATGATCCACAACACCTACCAGGCTCTTAAAGGAACACATTGTATGGATATAGGAAATAGTATGGGCCTTTTTATTTTTAAACAAAACAAACTATAATATAAAACAGCTGTATGAGCTTTTAAAACAAAGATTTGATCATGCTGTTAGTCTGCTTCACCCACCCTTTTGGTTTTTTTAAATTTATTTAAAATTTAATTTAGAAATAATCTTATTTTACGTTTCAATCCCAATTTCCTTTTCGTCCCATCCTCACATGCTCCCTACCCACTCACCCTGCCCCACCCCCATCCACTTCCCAGGGAGGGTGATACCTTCCATGGGGGGAACATCAAAGTCTGTCATATCATTTGAGGCAGGGGTTCGCTCCCTGCCCCTCCCCCTTCCTGTGTATTGGCTCAGAGAGTATCCCTCCAGGGAAATGAGCTGTCAAAAATCTTTTTGCACATTAGGGATAATTACTGGTTCCACTGTCAGAGGTCCCATAGACTGCCCAGGCCTCCTAACTAACATCCACATTCAGAAGGCTTGGTTCAGTCCAATGCTGGTTGCCCAGTTTTATGGCTGGGGTCTGTGTGTTCCCACTTAGTCAGGTCAGCTGTTTCTGTGGTTTTCTCCAGCATGGTCTTGACTTCTCCCTCTCTACAATTGGATTCCTGAGTTCAGCTCAGTGCTTAGCTGTTAATTTTTGCTTCTGCTTCCATCAGCTACTAGATGAAGGCTCTAGTCATCATTCTCATAGGGGAAGGACATTTAAGGTAGCTCCTCCACTATTGCTTAGATTGTTAGTTGGGGTTATCCTTGTAGATCTTTGGACATTTTCCTAGTGTCACATTTCTCTGTAAACCTAGAATGGCTCCCTCTATTAAGGTATTTCCTTGTTCTATTCTTTACCCAGTTCAGTCTTTCTGATCCCTCTTCTCTTCACCTCTCCCCCCTTCCTTTCTCTACCCTCCCCCCTCCCCTTGTGCTCCCAAATTGCTCAGGAGCTCTTGTTACCTTCCCCTTCTCCAGGGAACCATGTATGTCTCTCTTAGGGTTCTCCTTGTTTCCTAGTTCTCTGGAGGTATGCATTGTAGGCTGGTAATTCTTTGCTCTATGTCTAATATCCATATGAGAGAGTACATACCATGATTGTCTTTCTGTGACTGGGTTACATAGCTCAGGACGGTTTCTTCTAGTTCCATCCATTTGCCTGCAAATTTCAAGATTTTATTTTTCCAGTGAATAGTACTCCATTGTGTAAATGTACCACATTTTATTTTTCCATTCTTTGGTTGAGGGGAATTTAGGTTGCTTCCAGGTTCTGGCTATTACAAATAATACTGCAATGAACATAGTTGAACATTTTTTTCTTGTTGTATGATTGTGCATCCTTTGGGTATACGCCTAAGAGTGGAATTTCTGGGTCTTGAGGTAGACTGATTCCCGTTTTCTTGAGAAACCACCATACTGATTTCCAAAGTGGCTGTATAAGTTTGTACTCCCACCAGCAGTGGAGAAGTGTCCCCCTTTCTCCACATCTTATCTAGCATAAACTGTCCTTGGTGTTTTTGATTTTAGCCATTCTGACAGGAGTACAATGGTATCTCAGAGTTGTTTTGATTTGCATTTCCCTGGTGGCTAAGGATGTTGAACAGTTTTTTAAGTGTTTTTCAGCCATTTTAGATTTCTCTATTGAGAATTTGTATTTAGTTCTGTACCCTACTTTTTAATTGGATTATTTGGTATTTTGGTGACTAGCTTTTGAGTTTATATATTTTGGAAATCAGCCCTCTGCCAGATGTGGGGTTGGTGACAATCTTTTCTCATTCTGTGGGCTGCCGTTTTGTCTTTTTGACTGTGTCCTTTGCCTTACAGAAGCTTCTTAGTTTCAGGTGGCCCCATTTATTAATTTTTGATCTCAGTGGATCTAACCCTCTCTACACAGGTGCTGGGAACAAGTCATTTCACTAGGT